GGAATTTATTCCAAGTATGCAAGACTTCAACTTTTGAAAATCAATTCATGTAATCTATCACATCAAAGGGTAAAGAACAAAAATGATATGATCATATCAATAGAGCAGAAAAAGTGGCAAAATTCAACACCCATTCATGATAAAATCCATCAGAAAAAGAATTAAAAATACATTTGTTCACAGATGACATGACTGTTCTTGTAGAAAATCTCAAAGAATCAACAAAAAACCTTGAAACTAATAAGCAATTATAGCAATGTTGCAGAATATAAGGCTAATTTACAAAATTCAATTTTTTCATATATATCAGCAATGAAAAATTGGAATTTGAAATTAAAAACACAGTACCATTTCTATTAGCACCAAAATTGAAATATTTAGGTATAAATCTAACAAAATATATACAAGGTCTATATGAGGAAAACTATAAAACTCTGATGAAAGAAATCAAAGAAGATCTAAATAAATGGAGAGATATTCCATGTGCATGGATAGAAAGACTCAATATTGTCAAGAAGTCAGTCCTTCCCAACTTAATCTATAAATTCAATGCAATCCCAATCAAAATCCCTGCAACTTATTTTGTGGATATCAGTAAATTGATTCTAAAATTTATATGGAAAGGCAAAAGACATAGAATACCAACACAATTTTGAAGAAGAACAACGTCAGAGGACTGACATTACTCAATTTCAATATTTTCCATAAAGCTACAGTAATCCAGACAGTGTGGTATTGGCAAAAGAAAAGACAAGCAGATCAATTCAACAGAAGAGAGAGGCTAGAAATAGACCCATACAAATACAGTTGGTTGTTGACAAAGGAGCAATGGAGAAACGATAATCTTTTCAACAAATGCTGCTGGAACAACTGGTTATCTATATGCAAAAAAAAAGACAGAATCTAGACACATATCTTACATCTTTTACAAATATTAACTCAAAATGGATGATAGATTTAAATGTAAAAAGCAAAACTATAAAACTATAAAACTCATGGAAGAATACATAGTGAAATATCTGTGTAACTGTGGGTTTGGCAAGGACTTTATAGATACAACACCAAAAGGCGATCCATGAAAGAAAATATTGGTAAGTTGGAATTCATTGAAGATAAATCTCTGCAAAATACTCTGTTAATAGAATGAAAAGACAGGCCAGAAATTGAGAGGAAAAAATTTGCAAAACAGACATCTGATAGAAGACTGGTATCCAAAATATACAAGGAACTCAAAATTTAACAATAGGAAAACAACCCCATTAAAAAATGGGCAATGATTTGAAAAAAAAAAGCTGACCAAAAAAAAATACAGATGGAAAATAGCATATGAAAAGATGCTTAACATCATATGTCATTATGGAATTGCAAATTAAAACAACAGAAAAGAGCCAAGTTAAGCTACATGGACAAAAAAAGGTCTGTGTCCATGGTGATTGAGAGGGACAAGGAATAGATCATTTGAGCTGCACAGGCAAGGGATATGCCGGTGTAAAAGTTCATGTTCATGTATGTGGGAGGTGGGAGTGGGGTTGGAGCAGAGCTGGAGGTATGATGAAGCAGCACAGTTGTTTTGGTATCCCAGGCTTAATGAATGAAGGTTATTTGGTTCTGAAATTTAGATTTCAGGGGTAACTCAGGGTTACATAGGTGCTACTGGAGGCACTGGGGAGTGGAGCCATGGCTGTTGCGATCTGTTACACTGGAATCCATTTTAGGATGAAGCAAATACTGCTTAGCAGTCAGACAGATGTAGGTCAGCATCCTTTTAATCTTTCAATCATTTTTTTTGCTCCCTGACTTTAAAACTTAACCTTTCTGAGCTGGTTTCCTAACTGCTATGTGAAGGTAGTAATAGCATATTTTGGTAATAGTCCATACTGTCCAGTATTATCGTGAGCTGATACATATAAAGAGCTTAAAATTGGGCCTTTCTCGGTTCAATAAATGTTAATCAGTATAGTGCCTGTTCTGTAAATGAACTAACAATAAATTGTCCAACAGGTATTTCAAAGTCTCACAGTAAAATCTGTCAGCTATTGGTAAATCCACTCCTCTGTCAGTAAACATCTTGGAATCAAGATTCCACCACATCCAGAATTATCAGAGAAGCTTGTGCTGTATGATTTTGGATATATCTGTCAACTTTTAGGATGAGATTGAGTAAGAAAGAAACTACAAGTAAATGCAACCTCAAGAACAGAGATTTCTTTCTGTTCGTTTCTACTGGATCTCTAGCGCTTAGGACAAAGTAGGTGCTCATAACTGTTTGCTGAATGAATGAAAGGCACCGGAGACTTTAAGAAAGAGAAGGAACAGTTCAGGGAGGCAAAACATTCACACATACCCCCACAGATCCCAGCAGTGCTCAGACTCCCTTCTTCAAGCCTGGCATTCACCCAAGAGAGTACACTGTGAAATAAAGAAAAAAGAAGTCTACAATTCAGCTAAAGTTATTTAAACAGCACAGTAAAAGAGGCCTTCCTCTGAAAACTGACATCCATTGTCTCCACATACTATACAGAATCATCTCCAGATGGGTTTTTTTCCCCTGTCACCCAAATATTGCACAATTATAATAAATATCTAAAAACAAATAAAAGCTGATATGAGAATTCATGGTAAGAATATGATTCCCTTTTCATCCTGGAAAACATCAGTGATTTTAGCGAATAGGGACTTTCTCCAAGCAAGCCTCAAAGACCACTGCAAAAATCTCCCTTCTTTAGAAAACAGAGAGAAAAGGATTGCTGGACAGGGTGGTCATAGTGGTGAGAGATGAGCCCCAAAATTGATCCACCCAGGGGCTGAAGCCCCAGTAAATAAAGCCAAGGGGAATGGACTTTATGAGGATGGTGAGTGAATTTGGTCCTGGAGTTTGGAAATCTGAAAAAGGGTCTCACTGGTCTAAAATAAAGGTGATGGCAGGGCTTCATTCCTCCGAGGGGGTCTGGGAAGAATCTGTCTCCTTGCTTTTTCCAGCTTCTGGGGCTGCCCGCATTCCTTGGCCTCTGGCTTCCTTCCATCTTCAAAACCAGCAAGGGGCCTGTGGGCCTGTGAAGTCTTTATCATGCTGCTTCACTGTGACACTGATTATTCTGCCTGCCTCTTCCACATTTAAAGTACCCCTGCAATTGCGTTGGCCAGGAAAAGCAAGTGCATTCTTATTTTAAATTCAGCTCATTAGCACTCTTAATTCCATCTGCAAACTTCATTCTCCTTTGCCACCAAACGTCACATATTTACAGCTTCTGGACAACAGGACAATTACGTCTTTGGGGGACCTTTATTCAGCCTACCTCAGTGAGAGGGCCATTTACTTGGGTTTGAAAACGGGCAACAGTGTCAGCAGGTTTGTACTCATCCACAGTTGTGCTTAACCACCCTTGCTCTGTTTGCCACATGGAGCACAGAAAGGAGGGGCCCAAGACTAGAGGAAGCATGTAGGGGTGAGGGAAACAGGATTCAAGAACCACCAGGTTTCTGTCTTGGGGAAGTGGGTGCATGATGGGGCGTTCTCCAGGAATGATTGGGGAAACTACACAGGTGTGTAGGGCAGGTGGCTGAGATCCAAGCTGATTGTAAGCTCTGCCCCATTTCCACACTGCCAAAGATCAGGAGAGCTGGGATGTGACCGCCACAGAAGAATTGACAGAACAGTGGAAGAGAAGCCAGGCGCAGCCCTACCTGGTGCCTGACACGTGGCAGTGGGGCAACAGAGAAAGAGGCTTGTATGACCCGGTGCAGGGCCTGACAGGGAAAGACCTCTTTCTTGGGCAGCTGTGGGGACCGCGAAATGGTCCAGTGTGTTACCATTTCGAATGAGAAAGAAAGCAGTGTGGCAGAAAGAATGAGTGACTGTGGGCGCAGACCAGCGGTTTGTTCGCTGGAGTCAGAGGTCTAGGTGTGACTTCCTCTGCAAGAGGGACAGTGGTGAGGCCTCCATTGGACCCCCTCCCACCTCCCTCCTCTCTGCAGCCGCCAGAAGCAATGAAAGAACTTGGGAGGGGTCCCCAGAACCTCAGGGGCGGTCTGGCCTTAAATGGCCTCTCGCCTCCCCACCTGCGGTCCTCAGAGCCCCTCTCCCATCAGCGTCCCAGAAGGATGGCGGGCGCGAGGGGTGGGAGAGGTGGGCAGCCAGGGAGCAGTCTGCGGGTTCACACACACACACACACACACCCACTCCCACACCGCCAGACGGGCTGTTGGTATCCATCCGCTGCTCCCTGCGACGCGGCCCCTCCGGACCTCCCGATCCTGGCCCCCAGCGGCCCCCACCCGCCGGTCCCCTCTATTGTAGTGGCGGAAAGGAGGGGGTGGTCGCCACGTAGGTGGCCGCGGAGGTGTAGTGAGGCGGGCTGGCCTCCGCCCGCCCCTTGGCGGGAGCGCCTCCCGGCCCCCCCCTCTGGGTCGGAACTACGGTGGGCCTGGGAGGGGGCGTCGAGCCCGTTGGTGCCGTATCCCTCCGCCCCCCTTCCCGACACCCCTCGCCGCGAGCGGTTCGTGCCGCAGCCTGCGCAGCCCCTGCCCGTTTTGGTGCAGCGGCGCGGGGGGCGGGCCGCCTGTGTGCGAGTCGGCCGCACGGAGGGCGGTGGGCAGGCGCGCGAGGCGCTCGGAGAGGAGGGCAGGCCGGCGGCCTGGGCCTGAGTCGAGAGAGGCAAGTGGGGTGTGGGGGGGGCGCGGGGGTGCCCCGCCGTTACTCGGCGTGCAGCCCGCCCTCCAGCCGGCAGCCTGGCGAGGAGCCGCCGAGGCGGTCGGAGCCGGTCGCCGAGAGCGGTGCGCAGCGGGCCAGCGCCGGGAGAGCCGTGGTGCTGCGGCGGCGGCGAGTGGCGCGGGCCGGGGCGCGGGGGCGCGGGGGCGCCGGAGCGCCGGAGAGGCTGCCGAGAGGCTCCCGGGGCTCCTCTGGAGGCGCCTCCCGCCCGCGCCCCGCAGCCGGCTTCCCGGCGCCGCGCCCCGCCCTCGGCGGTGTCTGTGCGGGGAGAGGGCTGGGGGGCTGCTGCGGGCGAACGGCGGGGCGGGGGCGGGGGCGCGGGGAGGCCGCGGGGCCAGGGCGGGGGCGCGCGAGCTCGGCGCCGGGTCGGCGGGAGCGGGCCAGTGGCGCTGGGTCCTCCGGGCCCGGATCGTGGAAAGGGGCCGTGGGGCCCCGCGTCCGGGGTGCTGTCGCTTCCCACAGGCGCCTCGTTAATGCCGAAGTCTCCTGTCTGCGCGGTAGGTCTGGCGACTTGAGGCTGCAGGGTGCATCTCTAGCGGAGAGGCTTGCGACAAAGCAGGAGCAGGAAAATAGCCTGGATTTGTGAAGGTGTGTGGGGATGGGACGGTGGGCAGACGCCATTGACTGGAGACCCGAATGGGGGTGGGCTGACTGCGACCAGAGCAGGTCAGGCATCCAGGAATACCTCCTAGAAGTTCTCTCTCTACCAGATTTCTAGGCACTTCCTTTGCCTTTCTACATTATTTGCATCCAAAATTGTAGGCAGGAAAAGATGGGCTTGGAGATGACAGTCAGACAGAAGTCATAATTACAAGTACCATTGCACAACCTGTTTTCTAGAATATGCGGGCGCCATTCCCCCAATTTATGCTGCGCATGCAAAGGGACGTGGTGCACCTAGTGGTGAATCAACGGAATTGGAGAGTGAGCAATGGGAAGAGTGTGACGTCAAGAGAAGATGTCATTTTCTAGAACCCTGAAACAGAGGGCCTAAATAAAACGACAATATTCTACCAAGAGGACTGTAAATGTTGAACGACAAATAACTTGTGGATTCCCATGCTTGGTGTTGGTCCATCCACCAAGCACTCAGTTGCTACCATGGTCTCCTGACTGCCTTACCTTTTTGTCTGTTTGTCCGTAGGCCTTTTTCAAGGCTGGTCACTTCTGCAGGAAAGGAAAGGAAGAAGACACTGGCTCAAATTTCTGAAGGTTGGTGTGAAGAGGGGCAATGCAGGGGACAGCTATGGAGTAAGATCGTGGCAGGTGTCTTTGATTCTCTTGCTGTGTGCTAGATTTGCACAATGCTGCAGCATCCCTTGTCCATTTCCTGCAGGAGGTATTAGGAATATTGGGGTGGGTGTGGATTGGGCTGTGAATGTGAGCAGAAGACTTGAGAGCAGGGACCAGGATACAGGAAACATTAGACAAATTGGACCCTTAAACCGAAAGGGAGATGTTTACAAACGTTAGGGGTCAGGGTGTCTGTGTGTCAACCAAGTATTCAATCTCCATTTTTTCCTGTGTGTTTACGTGTCTGTAGGGTGGCCTGCTGTCTGCTATAGGGCTTAATATCACTGGAACAAGGCAAGGAGGGGGAATTGCCCCACATCAGTGCAGGTTGGTATGAGAGTGGGTACACCTTTAGGCCAGGAGTGGAGGCCAACACAGGCCCCGGAGTGATTAGGCTCTAGTCTGGAGGTTCTCAGCCTCTCCCATTGTCAATACACTTTCTCTCCAACCTTACACCTGTTTTGTAGCAGGCAATACTGTGGCATCTCTAGGGGTGAAGGGTGTAGGCCAAATAAGGCTGACAGAAAAACTTTGTTATAGTCTGACTGTCTCACCAAGCATTCAAGGTCCAGTCTCTGAGTCTCTGCATGGAGTGACACAATTGGAAGAGACTCAAAGTCTCATGTCATTCTGTCTCCCCAGATCCACCTCCAGTGGCAGCTCTGGTGGTGTTGGAATTGCTGCTGACTACCGTCCTCCAGAGGTCTGCACCCACCTGGGAACCATCCATCCTCCCCCAGCTTGGTTGTGCTTCTGCTGCACTGTCTGTAATATTGGCTGAGGCTGGGCTTGAGGAGGAGGCTGGTTGACGGCTGGACTGGCTTGACTCTAACTCATTTCCTACTGTATCATCTCCTGAATCGCTGAAGGATCAGAGTGTGAAGATACAAAACTCACAGATCTGTGGTAGAGGCTGAGACTGGGGTAGGAGTATTTAACTGAGCCTTCTCTGTAACTTGTACTATGACTGGGGCCGAGATTGAGCCTGGTGCCCAGGCCAAGCCTGGAAAGAAGGCTGGAGAAGAGGTTGGGGGTGGGCCTGAGAGAGAGAATGAAGTCCCGCTGGTGGTCAGACCCAAAGTTAGGACCCAGGCCCAGGTGATGCCTGGGGCCAGGCCCAAAACTGAGTCCAAGGTTATGTCTGGGGCCAGGCCCAAAACTGAGTCCCAGGCGGTGGCTGGGGCTAGGCCCAAAACTGATTGCCAGGCAATGGCTGGGGCCAGACCCAAAACTGAGTCCCAGACAGTGGCTGGGGCCAGGCCCAAAACTGATTGCCAGGCAATGGCTGGGGCCAGACCCAGAACTGAGTCCCAGGCAATGGCTGGAGCAAGGCCCAAAACTGAGGCCAGGGCAGTAGGCGGGGCACGTCCTAAGACTGAGGCCAAGGCAGTCCCTGGGTCAAGGCCCAAGGATGAAGCCCAGGCGTGGGCCCAGACTGAGTTTGTGGCTGAGGCAATGTCACAAGCAGAAGGCATGTCCCAGACCCATGCTGTAGCTTGGCCACTGGTTGGTACTGAGTCTGGGTCAGTAGTTAAACCTATGGCCCTGTCTGTGGACAGGGAGCTGGTCAATGTGGACAGTGAGACTTTTCCTGGCTCCCAGGTTCAGACAGGAATCCAACCCTGGTTTGCATCAGGGGAAGAAACTAATATGGGGTCTTGGTGCTATCCAAGGCCCAGGGCTAGAGAGGAGGCCTCTAATGAGTCTGGATTCTGGTCAGCAGATGAAACATCTACGATGTCTTCTTTCTGGGCTGGAGAAGAGGCCAGTATCAGATCATGGCCCAGAGAAGAGGCTAATACCAGGTCCAGGCACAGGGCTAAACATCAGCCTAACCCCAGGTCCAGGCCCAGGTCCAAGCAAGATCCCTATATTGATTCCTGGTCTGGATCTGAGGAGGAGTCTGGCAACCCCTTCTGCTTGTGGGCTGGAGAAAATACCAGTAACTTGTTCAGGCCCAGAGTCAGGGATGAGGCAAATATCAGGTCCAAGCTCAGGACAAAGAGAGAGGACTTCTTTGAATCTGAGTCTGAAGACGAGTACTATAAGGAGTCCTGGTTTTTGCCTGGAGAAGAGGCCAGTAGTAGATTCAGGCCCAGAGACAAGGAGGAGCCTCATACTGTCTTAAAGCCCCGGGTCCAGAAAGATGTTAATAACAGTGATAAGGTCAAACAAGAGCCCAGGTTTGAGGAGGAAGTCATTATTGGGTCCTGGTTCTGGGCAGAGAAAGAGGCCGGTATGGAAGCTGGGGCTTCGGCCATCTGTGAATCCAGGCCAGGGGCTGAGGAGGGGGCCATTGGCGGATCCTTGTTCTGGACTGAGGAAAAGTCCAGTTTAGGGGCTGTGGCCAGAGAAGAGGCCAGGCCAGAGTCTGAAGAAGAGGCCATATTTGGGTCCTGGTTCTGGGACAGGGATGAGGCCTGCTTTGACCTAAATCCCAGTCCTGTGTACAGGGCTAATTCCAGGTTCAGAGATTCAGTTGAGGAGGAAGTTAATGTATCATCCAGACCCCAAACCTGGGAAGAGGTCACTGTTGAATTCAAACCTGGTCCTTGTCATGTGGTTGGCTTCCCATCTCCAAGCTCCTTTAGAATTTCTGATGAAGCAGCATCTGTATTCTCTGAAATGTTTGAGGGAAAGCCCAAGAATGTGGAACTTACCCCAGAAGGGGAAGAGCAGGAGTCTCTGCTTCAGTCTGATCAGCCTGAGTCTGAGTTCCCATTTCAGTATGATCCGTCCTACCGGTCAGTCAGGGAAATTCGGGAGCATCTTAGGGCCAGGGAGAGTGCAGAGCCTGAGACTTGGTCCTGCAGCTGCATACAGTGTGAGCTTAAAATTGGTACTGCAGAGTTTGAAGAACTCCTTCTATTAATGGACAAAATTCGAGATCCTTTTATTCATGAAATATCTAAAATTGCAATGGGTATGAGAAGTGCTTCTCAATTTACCCGAGATTTCATTCGGGATTCAGGTGTTGTCTCGCTTATTGAAACCTTGCTCAATTATCCCTCGTCCCGAGTTAGGACAAGTTTTTTGGAAAATATGATTCACATGGCTCCACCTTATCCAAATCTAAACATGATTGAGACGTTTGTATGTCAAGTGTGTGAGGAGACCCTTGCTCATAGCGTGGGTTCCCCTGAGCAGCTGCTTGGATTAAAGATGCTTAGACACCTCACTTCAACTACTGACTACCACACGCTGGTTGCCAATTATATGTCTGGGTTTCTCTCCTTACTAACCACAGGCAATGCAAGAACAAAGTTTCACGTTCTGAAAATGCTATTGAATTTGTCTGGAAATGCTATGGTGGCAAAAAAACTATTCAGTGCCAAAGCTCTATCGATATTTGTGGCTCTCTTTAACGTAGAAGAGACAAATGATAATATTCAAATTGTTATTAAAATGTTTCAGAATATCAGTAATATTATAAAAAATGGAACAATGGCTTTAATTGATGATGATTTCAGTCTTGAGCCGCTTATTTCTGCATTCCATGAATTTGAGAAGTTAGCTAAGGAACTACAAGTCCAAATAGACAATCAGAAAGATCCTGAGGTGGGACAACAAAGCTAATGTGATTAACCACCTGCCTCTGATCAGCCTTATGTTCCCAAAGAACCCTGAGTAGTGTTTTGGTCTTCACAGTCTGGTTTTATGTGTAACAGATTTTTAATTCTGATGTTAACTTTGTCCAGTCCTTGCTTCGAGCTGGATTATTTCGTGGATGCCAAATGAATATTAAAGCTGAAAACACATTTGTTGATATTTGTCTTGCTGTCCAGATTGCAGTATTTTTTCAGTATTGAGCTTCCGATGAACTGAGTCGCCTATGTAAGCTATCCTGCTCTTCGTTGTTTAAACATATGGTTCTCTATTCGAGTCTGTGTTTTCAATAAAGTTCTATGTGAAAACTGGCAGAAGTGACACTTATTCAGTTTAAAATACAGGTGGAGATACATTGTGCATATTTACAAACATAATGAATAGTATAAAAAAATACCCTCATTGGAAAACCCCATTCCTGAAGCTTAAGAAGGAAGAGATTACTGTGGGCTACAGTACTTGAGGAATGATTCAGAGAAAAGGAACCCACTTAAATTGGTCACTGAAGGGTAAGATAAGACAAACAGTCATTCCTGGAGGTGAGCAGTGGTGGTGAGAAGAAAGGGTGTAATTGGAAAATCTGTTCTAGTAGTATGGATCTACCCTGTCTGCCTGAAATAGGTGAGACAAGTTTAATGAGGGATGCAGTTGGAACGAGGCCAGTTTGGAGAGCTAAGTCTGCATATCTGCACATTTTACAACTCCTAGTGCAGGTGTTGCTTCAGTGCCACCTAATGAGTGAAAGAGTAAAATAGCACACCAGTTAAATGGAGTCAGGAATAAGATTTCCGTTGTGATCCTAGTCCAAGGAAATACCATGCAGCTATTAAAAATAATCTATTTATTGGCATGAAATGATCCTGATGCCTTTATATTTGGTGAAATAGGGAAGAATGTGACATCATCTATGGAAAACTAGATCCCATTTTAAAAACTTATGTGTAAATAGACACAATTTCTATGCCATTACAATATGACTTTCTAAGAAACTTTATATATTCCATAGTCTGGAATAAAATATACCGTGCTAAAAAAATTTTCAGAGACAGGCGTTGGGGAGATAAAAATAAGAAAGGAGTTTTCTTTTTGTGAGGAAGATTGGCCCAGAGCTAACATCTCTTCCCATCTTCCTCTTTTTGCTTGAGGAAGATTGTCTCCAAACTAACATCTGTGTCAAGCTTCCTCTATTTTGTCTGGGACGCTGCCACAGCTTGGCTTGCCGTGCTAGGTCCCTGCCTGGGATCCAAACCTGTGAACCCCAGGCTGCTGAAGCACAGCGTGAACTTAACCACTATGCCACTGGGCCTGCCCCCAGGATTTTTTCTTTTAATATGCTTACATCTAGTGCCTCAGGTTATAGGTGGACATGTTGGAAAGGATACAGTTATATAAATGAATAAAATAATGTGTTAAAAAGAATTTTTAGAGATAAAATCATTTAGAAAAGTTGGAAAAGAATGAGACCAGAAAGATTAGCTTCTTAGATGAAAGGTTTTAACGAAAAAAAAATTACCAAGGATGCTGAGTTTTATTTTAGTCTCTTGATTGTACAAAGATGGAAACTTATTTACATAACTATTACATTTAAAAAGTCATATTTCCCTTTGAAGTGACGACAAAGTTCTAGAAGTAGTGGTGATGGTTGCACAATATTGCCAATTTACTTAATGCCCCTGAATTGTACACTTTAAAATGGTAAGTTTTATGTGTATTTTCCACCATAATAAGTAAAAAGATCATACCACATCTTCAGACAGAATTGTAGAGGTCAGAGAGAGAGTTGGTTTGGAAAGGGAATCAAGACTTGTGGGAAATATCATGTTTTATTATGCCTGTCAGACATGGTGAAACTGTTATTTGTTTTGTCTGAGGATGCTGTTAATTTTTGAAAAGGTAGAACTATGGCTTGTAAATTAGAAATGAATATGTGAAAGTTTTTTTCAACACAAACAACTGCTGAGATTATAAAATGATTGAAGGAGATACATATGTATGCAATACACAATATAATCAGAAGAAATATGTATGTTACATCTCATATACATATAAAATTAATAAATGTTATTAATGATAAAATTAATAAGTGAATCATTTCCATATCCATTGGACAAAATATCTACAAGTTAGCTTCTCAGGGTTGAAAACTTGATCAATAGAGAGGGAAGCCCAGCAATGCACTGAAATAATATGCAATAATCTAAGTGGTCTTTATCCAGGTTTTGTATAGTTTTTCTGACAGTGCAACATGCTCTATTTTCCTACCTGGTTCTAGTAGTCAAGGTTTATGGAAGTAGGGCAAAGTGGCACTTTTGCCGCCTCCTTTCACAGAGGGCAAGTGTTAACAGGGATCATCCTGGTGGTAGAAATTGGAGTTTGAATGTTTGGTTTGCCTGTCAATATTTTTCAAGACAGAGCGTGTGTGTGTTTGTGTGTCCCAAGTTTATACAGGATATTAAAAGTCAGTTGTCTCCAAACTCCTCATGGAGTGTTCCTCGCCAGCCCTGTGCTCCTGCAGAGCAAGGCCTAGGGCTAGAAGCTTTGGCTCCAAATCCAGCCTGCCTTCCAGCTCTCTGTCTTCACTGTGGTCAGGAGCTTCAGGTTCTTCTAGCAGGCAGCTCAACCCCAGCGGCAGAAGATTCTGCTGTCCCGCGCTGCAGGGCTGCAGCACCCAAGCTGAGCGCTGGGTCATGTGGGGCTGACGGCGGGTCATGTGACCACGCCCTCACTTGGGCGAGCAGAGAGGTGCGTTGCTTGGAAAAGGGAGAGGAAGGACACACACCTGACGACTGGCCAACTGCCATGGGAGGAGTGGTAGGATGTTGTGGTGGATGGGTGCGTCTGTGTGCTGCACTAGGCTGAAAACTAATGTCTCAGTCCACCAGAATTAGGGCATCTGTTAGTAGAGGAAACAATCCCTCAGCCCATTGCGAGCGTCTTAGCCAGGGTCTGCCTTTTGTCCAGGAGCTCAAGAGGCAGGAAGTCTGCGGGAGGCATCCGTGGAGAGAAGCAGCGGCCACTGTTGGAGGAGGTGGGTGCGAGGCCCAGAAATGGCATCCGTGGGAGGTAGGGGCTGAGACCAGATCCGGGTGCAGGAGGTGCCTGGGACCCTCCTGCTCCCTCCTGCCTTCTGAACACCCTTTCCCCCACCGCCAGGCTACCAGGTCAGCGCTGTGTGACTGTTTTTCTTTGTGTGGGTGGGAGAGGTGGACACCTGGAGGGAGTTGGCTTCAGGGGAGCCCAGAGAGAGGAGACGGTGAAGTGACAATTCGTGAACACCCAATTCGAGTACGCCCATGGCGCTGGCTCTGGAAAGGCAGGGATGGGGACAGAAGGGATCTGTGAGCTACACTACTGCTCCGTTCCTCCCACTTTGTTGGCCCTCACTCTTGTCTGTCTTCCAGACAGTGGGGATGGCTGAGCTCCATGTTGTGGACCAGTTGGGGGTGAGGGGGGTGATGAGAGGGGAACAAGACTAACTTACTCCAGGGCTCCAGCTGCCTGGAGATGCAAGAGAGGAATGAACCTCAGTCTGTCCAGCTGTAGGGAGGGAAAGAGGCGACAGATTCAGGAGGAGGGAACCTAGATGCTTTGGGCCCTTCACATAAGATTTGTCATTGGATCCTGGGAAGCTTCTCAACTCCCAAGAGGATTCCTGGATTTTATCCCAGGCAGCAGCTCCCTTCCTTCTAGGAACACAAAAGTTCCTACTCCTTCTGAGGCTCCCTCCCCCTGCTGTCCTAGCCTCAGAGGAAGGTCTTTCTGGGAACCACCTACAGAAACTGCTTTATGGATGGTTTCACATTTTCCCCTCTGCAGACACTTTGCTGTCTCCCTTGTGTTTTGCTCTCTGCTTACTTCTTAGGAATTGTTCCTTTGCTCTTGTCGGGGTGGAGAAAATCCTCTTTCTACTGTTCTTGTGTTCTTATGGCTGGACTAACAATAAAACTGACACAAGACTAAATTGACAGGAGAAAACCCGTTTAATACGTACATATTAGAGATCATAGAAAAATGATGCTTGGAGAGTGAACACAGCAGGCAGTATACATCTTTTACACAAAGAAACAAATTTGTGAGGAATGACAGGACAAAGAAGCTTAGATATGAGGAATGTAAGTAGTGAGGAATTTCAGCAGAGTTTAGGCTTTATGTAGTAAATTTGCAAAGTTTGTTGACGCAGGCTTCTCCGCCCAGAGTTCCCTCGCTCAGGAGATGAGGATTCAGGGAGAGCGTCTTTCACAGGGGAGATGTATTTACTGCTTCCAGGGGGAACAGAGACAGGAGGGTCAGAAAGCACTTTTTGCTTCTCAAGTAACTTTAATTCAAAATAATCAATATGCTATTGTGGGATATTTTGGGGTGGCCTGCCCTGGGCCCTAACAGTCTCATCCTAGGTAGCAGCCCTTGCTATGTCCTTGGCCTCTTTCTAACTGAAAATTCCTCCCTCATGTATCCACTGGATACCAATGCAGTTTAGGAAAGTGTCACTAAGATGTAATGAATTTTCCTAAGCCCACTCATGTCCTTATTTTTATACCTAGTATAGAGTTGAAACTATGCTGAAATACTACCTCAGGCCCTCCTGTTTACATTTAAAAGCTAGGATTGAGCAGTGGGCAAATTACAGATGTTGAGGCCTAGGACTGCCTCTTCTCTCTTACCTGCTGCCTCTTTTATTATTTTCTTCCCTCCACTCTCCAGAATTCTGGTAATATAAGTATTGGGACCAATGTTCAGGTTATGGAATTTCCCCTCAAGCTCTGTTGTCTCTTGTCTGTGTCTGTTTTTAGAGTTTGCCAAAAGAGAATACCTCAAACATGGTGTGGTATGAGAAAAAATATATCTAACCTTTGTCCTGGGTTCCTGGCACAGAGCTTCAAAAGGCCTTGTAATTTCCTGAGTGATAGGCGTGTTTTTGTTATGCTAATGAACTGACTTATGGTGGGCCCCTAGATAGCTTCAGGATGTGGGCCAGTCACCAGAAGGACCAACCATATGATTAGAGTTGGAACCTTAGGCCAACCCTGAACTCCAAAGAGGGGAGGAGGGCTGGATTTGGTGTTTAATCACATGGCCAGTGATTTAATCAATCATGCCTAGGTAGTGAAATCCCAGTGAAAACTCGGGCTCAGTGGAGCTTCCTGGTTGGTAAACACACTGATAGCCAGGGAGGGTGATGTGACCTGAATCCTTGGGACGAGGGCATGGAACCTGTGTGTCTAAGACCCTCCCAGACCTTGTCCTATGTATATCCTTTATAATAAATCTATAATTCTAAGTATAGCACTTTTAGTGAGTGCTTCTAGTAAATTCTCAAACTTGAGGGGGTCATGGGAACCTCTGAATTTATAACTGTTCAGTCAGAAGTCTGGTTGGCCACCCAAGAGTCCTAACTGGCATCTGATCTGAAGTGGGGGCAGTTTTGTTGGGGACCGCACACTTAAACCTGTGGAGTCTGATGCTTAACTCTAGGTAGTTGGTGTCAAAGAATTTATGTCAGAACAATGGTGTCACGCATCCCTATTTTTAGCAGCCACCCCTAGATTAAAGTCTGTAAACCTACCTCTGATCCTATGCGTCATACGTGAACAAGTTAAAATGAAGGAGGCAGAGCCCACCAATGTATTATGGGTGAAAAAAGCGGCATCTGTTTTTGTGGCATGCATTTGCAATTTAGATGATTTTTAAAGTTCTTTATAACTCTTTTTTCTTATCAGAGCTTCCTCAGCCTAGAATTCCTCTTGGGAGTACTGCGTTTATATTTGTGGAACTTCACACTGTGGCCTGACCAGATACCTCTTAAGTCCCAGGTGCATCCTGAAGCAGATACTTAACCAATTCATGCCTGTGGATTTTTTCAATCTCAGCCAAAGGGCAGGGTAAGGGGCGGGGGGAGGGGCGGGCGGGGGTGTGTTTTGTCTAAGCATGAAGATGATTATCCCTTTTTGATCACTCCTTGGGTAGGACTTGTAGGGGCCAGGATCATCCCTCAGTTCTTCCTGGCATGTAAAGTAAAAATCTCATCACTCATATGGCCCTTTTGTTTCTGACCCTTTTCTGGATATATATTATGGGCTATCTCGTAATAAATAGAATGGTCTGTTCAGATGTCACTTGACTTAAAATGTTGCTGCCTGGGAATAAAATTAGAGTGGATTTGTCATCTGTCCAGTCATGAATGAAAGAAAGGTATCTTCTTATGGCACAGCTGGAATATTAGCACCCACTGACCCTCTACTCTGCCCTCAATTTCAAAAGAGCAACCTCCAATGGAGTCTCATCTATACAGTACTATCAGGTTCCCTATGGGGGGTTTCAAGGCCCTGCACCCTTCTATACAATTCCACCGTTCAATCTCCATCTCCCAACACATTCTTCTAAGCCAGGGCCAGAACTAGAATGAGATCAGGATACAGTTTAAGGAATCACTCACTCTCAGGTGCCTCACCCTAGTCCAGGCCCTGCTTCACTTGCCTGCACTCAAGCCACATTGGACTGCCTGCTATTTCCCACCCCAACTATACTCTGTGTGTTACTACTTCTGTGACTTACCCCAGGCTGTTCCCTCAGTCTTCAGTGCTCTCACAATCCTTTCTGTGCCTATGGGAAATATATTCATCCTTTTAGGCTCAGCTTAAATGCTAGGGCCTATTTGAATTCTTTCTGATACTCGTACTGTTACTCTTTTCCTCTTGGTAGGAAGTAATTCTTCCATCCTGTGTACTTACATAGTACTTTTTTTTTGAGGAAGATTAGCCCTGAGCTAACTACTGTCAATCCTCCTCTGTTTGCTCAGGAAGACTGGCCCTGAGCTAACATCCATGCCCATCTTCTGTTACTTTATATGTGGGACGCCTGCCACAGCATGGCTTGCCAAGTGGTGCCATGTCCGCACCCAGGATCCGAACTGGCGAACCCTGGGCTGCCGAAGTGGAACGTGTGCACTTAACTGCTGCGCCACCAGACTGGCCTCTTACATAGTACTTTATTTGCCCCTATTTTAGCATTTGTTTCTTTATGCCTTGTACTGGAGTCTTTTTTTATGAATAAGAAATAGTGTGAGGGACAGGTAGCACAGAAGAAGAAACTTAGACTCTGAAAGTGTGAATCAAACACCAGTCTGTTTTCTGCAAGACTTGAGCCTTTTACTACTTATAATAGTAATTATTGTTAATATTAAGATTTATTGAGTGCTTTGTATGTGCCAGATACTCTTCTAAGGGTTCTAAATATTAACTTATTTAATCTTCAAAACAAACGTATGGAGTAGGTGCTGTTGTTATCTCCGTTCTACATATGAGGAAGCTGAGGCACAGGCTGGTTAAGTAACTTGGCCAAGCTCACTGAGTGGTTAGCAGAGGAGCTGAGATTCAAACCTTTGTAGTTTGAATCTGGAGCTGACGTGCGTTACCACTATGCTACATCTATAGCCCCCTAGTGCTAATTATCACTAAAGGCTGCCATCATCACTATCACTATCATCATCATCATATTTTCTGTTCCTTATAGCTTGTAGCAAAGTACTTTATTCATAAAGAAACTTAAACCTGAGTGTTGTTAGACCTCCTGTCCCTTATCCCATTCTCCCAGTGTATCAGTCTATTCCAGCTTTTCCTTCCTTCCCAACTTAATGGTCCATCACTGTCCATCATTTTTACTACTTTCCTACTTCATCCTCTGGTGCCTGGGTCCACTGTCCTCGTAAAATCCCAGCTCTTGATAAATCTCAAATATCCACCTTTTTTTTATACCTGTTACTTAGTGCAGTGCATCTGGAAAAAGTTAACCAAACTTTTCTGACTATTGACACTATGAATTTATCTTTCTCAACCTCAGTATAGTCCCCTGAATTGAAAGCAGATAACCTCTGCTATGTTTACATTATGGATATTTTACAAGAGTGCACTTTCACACAATGGCTCTCTGAACTGAAACTTGGCTTATTTATGAGCTCGAGTATTTAATGTACCTCTGAACTCCCTAGATAAGTAAGAGTTTAAATTTTCTGCCTGAAGCTTTCCTTTTCAA